AGAAGAGGGTATGGAGGGGAATCTGTAGAGGCCAGTGAGGGAAATGGCACAGGGAGGTTCTGCTTGATGTTTATTTTTTAACCTGAGTGTTTTATTAATCTATGTATGTTTCAGTATGACAGAAATGTTTTATTAAAAAAAGTAGCACCCTGGCATTATACCTTGTAGATTCCTCTTTAAGATCCAATAATAGGAGACATTGCAGAGTTCGCTCTGTGTGGCTGATAGTGTTGGGTCGCCATAAGGAAGGATGACAAGCTGTCTACCATTTGACATGTTCCTCACAGGGACCCCTAACTTGGTGAGGTACAACTAGTGACTAACAGCTTGCCCATTACCAGGTGGGTACTGGAAGTATCAGGGGGGACACTTTGTAAAGTACATGATTGTCTAACCACTATGCTGTATACCTGAAACTAATACAGAATCATATTGAATGTAAACCATAATTGAAAAACATTAAAAAAATTCAAAAATAAATAAAAGCAAAAAGTTTCTGAAAAAATAAAAGATTGGTTTCTGGAAACCTGACCTTTTCTAAAATCAGGCTCTCATGTGTTTAGAACATTAATTTGGATCTGAAAACATTGTTGTGTCTTCGTCGTATGCAATTCAAAGTAAAAATAGTACTAAGCATTCAGACATTAAATGTTTATTTGTCCTGAAATTAAAATAGCTTATTTTAAAATGACCTGACTTGATAAGTTGAATGCAGCTGGACTTACACTGAGGGGTGGTGCTGGGGAGTGGTCAGGGGGCAGGATCTGCTGCTGGCTTAGTGTGTGTCTCATCTGCCTGTCGGGCAACCCCCCCCTCACTTCCCGAGAGCAGACAAAAGAAGGTATAAAGAGCTCCAAAATGTTAGGCCCTCACATCGTCACTAGCATATGCCCAGCACTTAGCAGGCTAAATGTAGGATTAACAAGAAAGAAAGGAAGGAATTCTTCATCCTGTGAGCATGGATTTGATTAGAAATTGCAAAAAATGTTCTTGGGAGCCAAGATTAATGAATAAAGATCCAACTGGTACTATTTTTTTTGCTTAAAAATGAAACGTGAGTGATGATGTTTTTTGGGTGGCATGTAATTTGACTCTGAGTATAATTCCCAAAGTGTAATTCTGCGGTTCTTATATCTTGAAAAAAGAATGTAGCCTCTTCAGGTAATTACCTTGGGAAATATGAATGTTCTCCTTCTGTATCTAAAATTCAGTTGTATTGCTTTAAAAACTCAGTAACATAAGATATGATTATAGTTACTTCAGGAGCCGTGTGATTGGGGGAAATTTAGTTGTGTTGTTTTGAAAATGCTTTCACAAAAGTTGCTGCGTGTTTCCTAAAAATCTTGATATACATTTTATTTAAAGATCTTTATGCCTTTACAAAGGTTATTGGAGGGATATATACCATTTCAGGAATTGTTCCTAAGGATGGATTAAGTGAGGTTTTATTAGATAGGACACACTTTGCCGTGTATTTTTTCGCTGTAATAAATCAGAGCCGAATGGATACATGCTGACCCCTCTACCCTCCTAGTGAGTCGTTGAACCTGGCAGTCACTGGGGACTGTTACACACCTTTATTTTCCTCTCTAATATGCTTACTCATTTTGTTTAATTACAAATCAACTAGAAGTGAATCTATAATAAAACAAATTTTGTAATACAATATAAATTATGATAATTAAAATTAATTTTATAAAATTAAATGTATAATAAATTAACCATCAAAAGATTAGGCAGATGATAAATGTATGACCTCTGAAAACTGTACGTAGAGAACTATTTTCCACTATTGATTTCATATGTAACATGATAGATTTTTTTTCTTTGTTTCCATTTTTCAAGGAATGATGTAGTAGTGTCTTAAATTTCTTTGCCAAGTTAGTAGCAAGTATATTCCTCCCATTTTAAAACCTGAGAAAACAAAAGCATTCTTTATATTTTTGTTGTCTTAAATATTAATGAAATATTTTCTCATGTTACTTACAATATTTCTATCCAGGTTCACACAGCATGAATTCTAGCCAGGCATTATTTATGAGGTTCATTTCAAAGCACATGAAATTTGGCTTCTTGCAAAAGGATAAATAATTCAGAATTGTTTGAGTATTTTAGTTCAGTGACCATATACTGCTAAATTCCTAAGGATGCTGGCAGATTCAACCCTTAGTTCAAAAATGTATACAATTTCCAATGGATCTAGGGCTGACAGAAGGAAATCTCTTCTGTGTTTGGATAGAAGAGTCCCAACTCCAGAACATATTATCAACCAAACATTTGGGAAACCCAACAGCAAAATTGGTTCTTGTAATTGCTAGATCATTATTGTTCCATGGGGATCAGTCTAATTTAATATTGTCCAGGGGTTGATCTTTTATTAAAAATCAATGCAGATGTCAGTTTAAAGAAACTCTTGCTTCTCCCAGCATCTACCTTGAGGTCCAGATGACTTGTTGAGTAATGGCAAAAGCCAAACATAAACAGAAGAACCATATGCACATCTCATTAACACTGCTAAATGAGAAATCACCTACAGGCAGACCTCGGAGTCACTGTGGGCTTGGTTCCAGACCACTGCGGTAAAGCAATATCATTATAAAGTGAGCTGTAGTCATTTTGCTGGTGGAGGGTCTTGCCATCTATTTGTAATGCTGCATATGCAGATCCGTGAGGCTCAGTAAAAGGAACAAACCAATTTGGTTCTTCACAGTTACTGGGTTCTTTTTGATATTGTAGATATTGGGAGCCCCAGTAATTATGTGTAGGTGAGGCCTAAGCCTCCTCCCCAACCCTCTCTCTTCCAGGTTGTAAGTCCAAACAAAATTCTGCCACATATGTAGATATGTTTTAGCAAACAAATGCAAAAGCAGTCATGTAAACTCTTCTGTAAGCATCTTGAGATTCAAATTCTGGGTCTCCTCGGTGTTCTGACGGGGCCTTGCTTCAGAGGCTCACTCAAGACACAGGAGGACCAGGATTTCACTTTTCGTTGGTGTTGACAACACTCTCAGATAATTGGTGGAATGAGAGCCTTTCAGAATCCTAAACCTAAGACACCATTCGTCAGGATTCGGACTGTTGGGTTTACAAGTTCTTGTGAGGGTAAAGGCAACTGAGCAGTATTTGTGGACAGCCCACATATTTTATGTGCTGCTATTTTATTTTACACCTGTGGTGTTCCTGGGAGATAAGGCAGCTTGCTGAGATGTTTTAAGGAACACTGCTGGATTATGTGTTTTTGATTAGTCTCTCATACCAGCTAAGCAAACCTCTAGAGTCCATGTTTGATTAAGGTATTCAAGTGTTAATTGTGTAGGTTAAACCCAACTTTCATGAACAGGGGAAGTAAGTGACATATCTAAACACGTGGGACTGGTTAGGTACCAACTCTGAGTCTAGGCTGTCAGCTCTTCCAGCTTGGATTTTTTACCATGAAGCTGTGTGAGCACCTGTCAGCTTCACAGCCAATTACTGCTTAATTATTCCTGAAAATAATGTTTGACATTTTATTACTGATCTTGAGTGTTTACAGACATTTCTGATCAAAGGAAAACAGACTCACACTGGCTTCCCTATAGAAAGATGGGAGACATTGATTGAGCATCTACTGTCTGCTAGACCCTGCAGGTGCTGCAAAGGGTGTGACATAAATAACTCCTCCTTCCTAGGGGCTACGATCTATTGATGAGGACAGACCAAGAACATTAATTGCTATAATGCAAGGCTAATTAAGTTATTGAATGAATAACTGCTATAAGAAGGAGAGAAAAGTCAACATACTACTAGTATCAATCAGGGTTGGAGTTGCTTCCCTCTGAAAATCATTAACAGGTTACCATCCTTTCGTTGCCAGGTCAGATCCTTTGCCGATAAATTACACTGACAAAGGACAGCATTCGGTTACTAGGCAACATTCCTGATGTGCTATAAGTTGTTTCTTTTTCCGGGCTCTAAAACTGTAGTTGGGAAGTCATCCAGAAGTGGAGGCATCTTGTGATGAACACTGGCTTTGATTTTAGGCTCTGGATTCCTGGATGAGAGCTTGTTTCCACAACTGGCTTGGGAAACTGGGTTTTATTTAAATCTTATTGCAGCCGTGATAAGTGCAGTTAGGTTCATAATGGAAACACTCATGCTCTCCCTGCAAATAGTTTAGTGGCCTTGCCATTATGTTTCTTGCCTTTAAGACATCAAGTCTGTAAGTGCTGTTGATAGAAACGACAAAGGACTGGCTGACTTATGAAGGAAATTGAATTCCTGTATCAGTAGTGCATTGATTAATATACTTTTTAACTAACAGCGACAAAATTGGAATTGCTTATACGTTTGTTAATCATATTGCAACTCAGTACTCAAGTCTATTTGAAATTTATTACATTTTAAATCTAGTTTGAGATAGTTACAGGGACATAAGGAGAATATGAATTCTTTGAGCATAAGGAAATAATTTCTGCTAGCTTTTTCAGTTTTATACTCTACTGAAACTTTAGCCACATTAATGTGTGTTGTTAATTATAGAGTAAATTACATTTTTTGCATATATCAGAATGTCTATTAAAATCTATTAAAGCGTTTATCAAAATGATCTCATGCTAAAGAATAAGAAGGACGTTCTTAAGTATCTTGACATATTTTTTAGCTAATTATATAGTTGTTTCCAGAAGATACCACACTACCACATCCCCGGCCAATGATAGAAGACTATGCTTGGTTCTATTTCTGGAAATATATTTAAAAAATTATTGGTAGCACTTAGTGTCCTTTCCTTGTTCTTGTGTTTGGTTTGAGAGCAACTGTCCTTCCTTTGCCGTCAAGTCTATTTAATGACGCTGGCGTCAGTGGAGACAGTCTCCCAGGGAATATTCTCTTGGCTCCTTTTGGTTTGATTCTCTATCAAGAAGCTGATTTTTGTTACATGACTGGAATATTTCTAGTACCTAAGTTAGTTTTTAAAAGTTCTTTAAGATCTTACATCATGGCTCAATTTTGTTCTTTTACAGGAATTTTAAACAGTTGTCAAGTGAAATGGAATTTATGACAATTAACGGAACAACATTAAGGAATCTTGAAATACTACAGAATCAGGTCAGGTAAACATAAGAGCTGATTCAAATGGTTTTGAAAACAAAATTTGGAATAAGGTAGCAGTTTCTTCTTCTTAGGAGTACAGGTGAAAGCAACAGTATTGTCTTCAACTGACCACTCTGCCTGTTATCGACTTATAATTGTAGCACCCAATTTTTGGAGAATCAAATACAATATGGGAAATACTTCTGTGAGTTACTTTGGGAGCTATAGAGCTGTCCTTTTCAGTGATTGAAGTAACATGCTCATCCAAATAATATCCATATCAAATATTTCCTTGGAAGAGCATTTTTTTAATGTTTTAATTTATCTTAATTGTTGAAAATATTACAAATGTCCTCTTTTCCCCCTATTGGTCCCCTCCACCCAGGCTTTCAACACCCTATTGTATGTGTCCATGGGTTATGCACATATGCATGTAAGCTCTTAGGATATTCAGTCCCCACTGACCGCCCACCCCTGCCTTCCCTCTGAGATTTGTCAGCCTGTTCCATGCTTCTGTGTCTCTGGATCTGTTTTGTTCATTAGATTCCACATATGAGTAAGATCAAGAGATACTTGTCTTTCTCTGACTGGCTTATTTCACTTAGAATAATACTCTCCAGGTCTCACCATGATGTCCCAAAGGATAAGAGATCCTTTCTTTTTACAGCTACAGAGTATTCCAAGGTATAAATGCCCAAGAAGATGCTCGACATGATTTCAATCTTCTTGAACTTGTAGAGACTTGTTTTGTGTCCTAACATGTGGTCTATCTTTGAGAATGTCCAATGTGCACTTGAGAAGAATGTATATTCTGAAGCTTTGGGGCGGAATGTTCTGTAAATGTGAATTAAATCCATCTAGTGTGTCATTTTGAGTCCCTGTTTCCTCGTTGATTTTTTGTCTGGAAGATCTATCCAGTAAAGTCAGTGGGGTGTTAAAGTCCCCTAATATGGCTATATTGCTATCTTTCCTTTAAAGCCCTCCAGAAGTCGTCTTTCAGCCTATGTGAGTCTTGCTCTGAGGTAGGTTTCTTGTAGACAGCATATAGTTGGGTCATGTTTTCTTATCCATTCAGCTACCCTGTGTCTTTTGATTGGAGCATTTAATCCATTTATATTTAAGGTTATTATTGATAGGTACTTATCGACTGCCATTTTATTTTTTTAATAATTTATTGATTTAGAGAGAGAGAGGAAGGGGAGAAAGAGAGAGAGGGAAAAACATCAATTTGTTGTTCCACTTATTTATGCATTTATTAGTTGATTCTTGTATGTGCTCTGGCAAGGGATTGAACCCACAACGTTGGTGTATTGGGTCAATGCTCTAATCAACTGAGCTGTTTTGCCAAGGTGCCATTTTATTTTTTTATGCCTGTGTTTCTCTTTCTCTCTATTTCAACTTCTTACAGCAGTCCCTTTAACATTTCCTGCAATGCTGGTTTCGTGGTAATAAACTCCTTTAGTCTTGTTTTGTCTGGGAAGCTCTTTATTTCACCATCTATTTTGAATGATAGCCTTGCTGGATAGAGTAGTCTTGGTTTCAGATCCTTGCTTTTGATTAACTTGAATACTTCATGCCATTCCCTTCTGGCCTGTAGAGTTTCTGATGAGAAATCAGCTGACAGCCTTATGGGAGCTCTTTTGTAGGTAACCGCTTGCTTTTCTCTTGCTGCGTTTAAGATCCTCTCTTTGGCCCGGCCGGACGTGGCTCAGCAGTTGAGCGTCGACCTAGGATCCAGGCGATCAAGGTTTGATTGCCGGTCAGGGCACGTGCACGAGTTGCGGGCTGCAGCCGATCAATGACTCTCTCATCATTGGTGTTTCTATCTCTCCCTCTTCTTTCCTCTCTCTGAAGTCAATAAAGATATATTAAAAAAAAAAAAAAAAAAAAAAAAAAATTCTTTTT